CTCTCTCTCTCTCTCTCTCTCTCTCTCTCTCTCTCTCTCTCTCTCTCCCTCTCTCTCTCTCATAAAAAAGTGACCATATGGCCAATGAGAAACACAAACCTGTTGTATGCTCTTCTCCTGCAGACATATGTCCCAGGATCCCTTCTTCCTGCAGCTGCAGAGCGCTCCTGTACTCATGAGGTCTCGCTGAAGACTTACCATGCAGGGTTCCAGGCACTTTTCCAGATCTCAGGGAAGAGTCGAAGGACTTCCTCCCCCTGGGGTCTTTGCACAGCCATTTGTTTATTTTGAAAGTTTCCCTCACCCCATTCCATATCCCCAAGGATTATTCCTACCCTGTAATTGTGACTTTCTAGTTATCCCTTCTATGGTCACCCCTCAAACTTCTAAACCCTTCTAACACATGCATGTACCATTAGCTCCTCCTTCTTTGCTGGGGGTTATTATTAGGGAGGCTGAGGCAGGAAGATTGTGGACTTGAAGCTAGCCTGGGATACATCACAAGATCCTGGGGGGAGGGAAGGAGGAAGGGAGGCAGAGAGGGAGAGAGAGGAGAAGAAGAAGAAGAAGAAGAAGAAGAAGAAGAAGAAGGAGGAGGAGGAGGAGGAGGAGGAGGAGGAGGAGGAGGAGGAGGAGGAGGAGGGAAGGAGGAGGAGGAAGAAGAGAAGGAGGAGGAGGAGAAAAAGAGGAAGAGAAATAAAAAACAAAATATACTCTTTAGTAGGAAAAGAGGAGGGAATAATAAATCAAAGAAAAGTATACAGCAGTCACAGGATGAAAAGAAGTTCTAAGAAACCCACAGCAAAGAGTAGGTGGGGCTAATGGTACATCCATCTGTAAGGAGGGTTTAGAAGTTTGAGGAATGACCATAGAAGGGATAACTAGAAAATCACAATTACAGGGTAGGAGTAATTGGCTAACACCTCTGGAGCAGAGAAAGGAAAAAGAGCACTGGGCACTGACTTCAAAGAGGAAAGGTGGCAGGGGACAGTGCCTGCAGTCCCCACTTCTCCCTGCCTGGAGGAGTAACAGGGAAGAACCGTCATCAGATCCATCAGCCATCAGCCCAAGCACAGGAGGGCTGTCTCATGATGCCTCCCAGTACCCCTTCTCCAGCGGGCCAGCACTCAGGCTTGTCCCCTGGGTAAGGCTTCCCCGGGGAGAACTTGTCCATACTTCAGGTAAAGAGAAGACAGAGAAGGACCCTGTTCACAGCCACCCACACTGAAGATCTAAGGAGGTTTACCTTAAAGGAACTTGCAGACGCCATCATGAGGCAGACATGTTGGAAAGCAGAAAGAAAAATATTATGGTAGGATCATAAACTGACAATGAATTAAGGGGTAACTCCCTCCAGAATCCTGCTTAGTCGGGAAACTGGAAAGTTCTATCACCAGAACTGGTTTTGTTTTTCTTAGGTGTCCTGACGGCCCTCGTATCTAGAGCTGATCACAGCCTTCTGGCTGATTAATTAGATGTTAAGAGAAAAGCTAATGTGTGTCCTCTTGGATGTTAATACTCAGCAAACATCTGCTTTATCAGCCAACTTGCCCAGACTCCTGGCCATCCCTCATGCCGGACAGTTTCTTAGGGATAGTTTTCCTTCAGCTATTCAAGCCTTCTGGGTCAGCTGCCCAACCTGTGGTCACGCATGGTCTCAGGTTCAGACTGCAGCTCTTCTTCAAGACCTCAGCTTTATCTTCATCCCTAACTCTGAGCACAAATAAGTGGTGGTAATGCCAGGTATACACACCCACACCCAATCCCTGCTGAGTACACACACACTCAGACACACACACACACACACACACACACACACACATGCACACATACAAAATATGTGAATTTGGAGGGAAAAGCAGAGGCTCCACATAGACTTATGGGAAAACAGACTATAAATAAATATGAAAGCAATGAGCTAACACTTTGAACAGAGAACAACAAATGAGGGATGTCAAGGATCGTTAGGACAATGGCCAAGAGGACACTTGGCTTTTCAACAGATCCCTGGAAAATCTCAGCAAATCTTTCCAAACACAGAAAGCATCAAGGCTCAGCGGCCTGGGTATGCAAGAGTGCTGGGAACAGAGGCTATGAGACCATGCTGCGGCAGGCCAAGCAGTGGGACTCAGAGGAGCTCAGGCTTGGACAGGCTGATAGAACAGTCAGCTGACGGGAAGACACTGGACGGGTTTTCATTCAGGGAGAAGCCAGGCACACATTTGAGAGGCACTGCAGCCTGCTGTTAGGCTGTGACTGTCAGCTGGGAGGCATCTGTAGAAACCCAGGCCAAAAGAAGGTGGAAAAAAATGCCTGCCAGGGACGAACAAGCCAGAGGGCTCCAGCCTCACCCACCTCTGTCTCCTTGAGCTCCACTCCTCACAGAGGACCGTCTCTTTCCACTTGTAAAATGGAGGAACAAGGCAAGGCAACCTGGCCTGGTGCAATATGGTGTCCTTCTTAGCAGACATTTTCATGCCTTTCGTTTGATGACATCCTTTATTTAAGGATGCCACAAGTTCAGACCCCTCATGAAGCCTGGGTGATGTTTGTCTTTTGAATGCCTCTGGAGATTGCTATAGTTTGGTTTATGAACAAAAGTAGTTGCTGGCAAGCCTTATGTTTATTGAAATACCAAAATCTGGGGGCTGGGGTGGTGGCTCAGTCAGTAAAGTGTCTGCTGTATAAACACAAGGACCTGAGTTTGGATCCCCATCTTCCATGGTGGGGTGTATGAATGACTGTAACCTTAGCTGGGGGCGGGGGACAAGCAGGAGGAGGGGAATCTCTGGAGCTTCCCGATCAGTCAGTAAGTTCAGTGAGAGACCCTGTCTCAAATAAGGTAGAGAATAGGTGTGATAAGACACGTGGATACAAGCCGGGCGGTGGTGGCGCACGCCTTTAATCCCAGCACTTGGGAGGCAGAGGCAGGCGGATTTCTGAGTTCGAGGCCAGCCTGGTCTACAGAGTGAGTTCCAGGACAGCCAGGGCTACACAGAGAAACCCTGTCTCGAAAAAACCAAAAAAAAAAAAAAAAAAAAGACACGTGGATACACTCACCTTGTCAGCCACTGGAGGTCTCAAGCCAAACAGACGCATGTCTATGGCCAGTGCAGCCCGCAGGGGACTATCACTGTTGGTGTGTGCTCAAACTGGGAAAGGCTTCTTATGCTGACATAGGTTGGTGAGGAAATCGGTTTCTCCCTAACTGTCCTATGTTGTTGACATGGCAGAGGAACTTAATTGGCTACTCCCCAGGGAGGACCGCTGTTCTCCTATTGGAGCACCCACTTTCTGTATGGAGCTCATGTCTTCCCGTCCTGCAGGCTGGAGGCTCCTCTGCTGCTGCTGACCACATGAAAAGATCTTGGAGGATCATGATGACTTACGATGACTGTCTTGGGGGTCGGGATGAGGGGCACAGCACCCTACAAACGACCTGAAGTGCACAAGCTTATCATGACTTCATTCACCCACCATGAATGGGCCCCTCGGGCTTATTTTATAATTTGAGACTTTTTCACTTTCAAAAATATCTTCTATGTTTGGTCTTGAATTTTTTTTACACTAATTTATTCTATCTCTGTGTCTGTCCATACCCCCACCTCTCCCCTCCCTCTCTGTGTTTGCCTCTCCCCCTCTGTGTTTGCCTGTATGCGGCTTTGTAGGAAGTCTTTCCTTCCACCACATAGGTCCCAGTACTGAATTGCGGTCACCAGGCTTGGCTGCAGGCGCCTTTAACCACTGGGCCGTCTTACTTGCCTTGCTCCTTTGTTCATTTTAATGTGACTTTCTCTGAGTAAATTAAAGGTAAGGAAAGAGTTGTGGGTCACATGGAGTGTCCTGCCTGGGGGACAGGGTCAAGAAGACAATCAGTGAACTGAAATAATTGCAAACAACGCAGCTAGGTTTCCTTGGCGACAGAGAAAGTACATACAGGATTTTAAATACATGAACCTTAAGTCAGAATGCTGGAAAACAAAACAAAAGCAACAGCAGAACCCAGAGTCAGACATGGTGGTATACACTCACAATCCTAGGCAGAACCCAGAGTCAGACATGGTGGTGTATACTCACAATCCTAGGCAGAACCCAGAGTCAGACATGGTGGTGTACATTCACAATCCTAGGCAGAACCCAGAGTCAGACATGGTGGTGTATGCTCACAATCCTAGGCAGAACCCAGAGTCAGACATGGTGGTGTACACTCACAATCCTAGGCAGCAGAGGCAGGGAGATTAGGAGTTCAAGGTCAGGTGTCCAAACAATCTCCCAGACAGCTACTAAACCAAAACTTTAAAGAGGCATGTTTGTTCTAAGATGTATTTCAAACAAGGAGACAGTATAAAGCAGTTTACTATGTTTCCCAGCTTTCAAGTTGGTCCTAAATGGCAGCTTCTATCAGGAAAATCCTCCAAGACTAAAAAGGGGGCCCCTCTGTATCAAAAGGAAGTGAGGTAGAGGGAGCTGAGAGCCCACATGACTGGGCCCTGAGGCCAGGCCTTGGCAGACCCTGGCTTTCCTTCCACAGCCCCCAAGAAGAAATGTCAATCACAACAGACAGGTCTCTGGCTAGCATCACACACCATAAACACACTCTCTGATGAAACAGTTAAAGAGTTTTAGGACTGAATACAATTTGGTTTGAAAATTTTAAAAAATTCCTAGTTATTTTTCCAATGGTATTCACACCATAAGATGACAAGAAGAAACAGAGAAGATTTGGGTATATTTTATTCAATCCAATATTTCCAAAATATAATTTGATATATGATCAATATATAAAGATATTATCCAGTAGATATTTTAAATTATTTTCAGTGAAGTTTTCAAAATTCAGTATGTATTGTACACTTACTGAGTTTATTTGGATGCCAAATTTTGATTTAAAATATTTCTTTGTGGTGAGATTTCAAAACATCCATACTTGAAAAAGTAGATCCACCCACTCAAGCCTTTCCAACCATACTTAACAGTTTCCCCAGAAATTGAACTGAAGATATGTATTTAAACTAAAAATCTTGTTCCTCTGCTGTGCCAGTGGTATTTCGATGTTGAGGGCTGTGGTAGCCCACAGCTGCACTGCAGGGGCAGCTCTGACAGAACTGGTCTCACCTGATCAGACCAGCTCTCAGCGAGCTGCAGAGCTTTGAGGTAGAACTGACTATTGATGAATCTCCCCAGCTTTTTCTATGTAACTTAAGTGGCCTTGATTGTCTGTTCTAACATGTTACATTTCCTTGTGAACTTTCACCTGCATTCGGATTTCACCAGAACTTCTTCCTGTTGGGTTGGGAAGAGGTTTATCGGGAACTCTGAAAGCTTCAAGTTATAGCTTTCTCTGAGGTGCTAAACCAAGCTCCAAAACACTGCTAAAAGGGGTACAGCTACATGTATTTCAGAACAAGGTTAAATAGGCCTGGGGTGTCTATTCACATGGCTTAACTCTTGAAATACAAAATAACAAGTTTTTTATGCTGATGCTGCAGAAATAGCTCTACCATTGTCAGTGTGACCTCATCACAGGTCACATGTGTATAAAGCAAATGCTAACCCATTAGACACTAGACTCATTGACAGTTATGGGGTTTCCTATTTGCCTCATGTCTGTGTGATCCTTAACATTGCAAAACCCAGTAATCAAAATCGATGCTAAAATCTTTACCACAGGTGAACAATTAGCCTTGTGCTCAAACTACTCGAGAACTGTGAGATGTTACTTTTGGAGCTGCTCGAGGGTGTGCGCCAGGGTCGCTCCTGTCACATCCTGGCTGTCAGCTGTCTGGCTTGGTCCTGAAGCTCCATTTTGGCAATTGCTGAGAGATGGACTTCGTCGGGACCATCTGCCAAGCGCAGGGTGCGTATGATGGCGTACCTGGGAGAATGGGGTCAGAGTTATCAGAGAGCACATTACTGTCACGTCACACTCAGCCCAGACCAAGGAAAAAGAATATGAAGAGAAAAGGCCAATGGCTTCTGAAGCTGGTGTTTCATAGTTCTCAGCTCAGGAAGATTCAAGATGGCTACCCAGAGGCACAGATAGCTCTGGACTACGTCAGGTTGGTAGCTGACATTGTTGAAGGGAGCTTCTTTACTGTGACTAAGAACTTTGGTGGCAGAATCAGAGAGATCCACTACTTCTATGGGCCATGCAAGAGTAGGGACATTGTGGCAGTTCAGTAAAGCCAGAAGTGGGTGTGGCCTTCCTTCTGTGTGGATACCCCAACAATGAGAGCAGTAGACCTTAGAGTAGGAGTGATCCCTACTGAGTGGAAGGAACTTCCTCAGGGAGGGCTGCTGTGAGTGCTGACTCTGGCCTCAGCAGTGGCGAGGGGGCAGGTGTGGGCATATGCTGACCAGTCAGTGGTCTCTGGCTCGATGTGGATGTGGGCAGGCAGGAACAACCCTGCATTCCACACACATCTGGTCCTGACAATAGTGTGGGAACATAGGGTGCAGGGATCGGGGTGGCAGAAACCACACAGGTGTGGTGCGAGCAAACTAATCTCAAGAGCTGTGGTTCCAACATGCCTGGGAGGGAACTGAACCAAGGAAAGAAAGGTCCTCCCAAGTCTCCTTTGCACTACTCCACCGAAACAGACAGACACACAAAGGAAGAAGAGTATATTCGGGGCCCTGGAGACACTGAATGCATTCTAGAATACCTGGAGGCAAGGAAAAAAGTTCAGAGTATATAAAATTCATTTAATGAAATAATAAAGACAGGACCTCAGATAGACATGATCAGAAAAGATCTTCACTATGGTGTAATATACTTAAACTGTCAAAGGTACAAGGCAAAACAGGGCTTGCAGCATCTGCAAGAGGCAATGGACAGCCACATGCAGGGGTGACCTTTTTAGACTAACAGCATAGCGCTCAGCAGAAAACCCACAGGCCAGGAAGGAATGCATTCCAAGTCCTGAAAGGAGGTAACTGCAAAACAAGATATTAATGCCCAGCAGAGCCAGCCTTTAGAAACGAAGGAGAATTGTTTTCCAAGACAAGAAAAGCCTGGGCAACTCTAACAATCAGGCCAGCCTTACAAACACAGCCAGGGGGTCTCTCATCCAGAAGTGAAAGAAAGCACTTCTGTTGGCTGAGGGGAGCTCTTTCCCCTCAGTGCCAATCTAGCATACAGGGGTCCTGAATTTGATCCCTAGCACTGCATATAAAAGCCAGGCATGGTGTCACATGCCTGCAAGCTCAGCATTTGGGAGTTAGGGACCAGAGGAACCAGAAGTTCAAGGTCTTCCTTTGCTATATAGCAAGTAGAGTTTGAGGCTAACCTGGGCTACACAAATATTTTAAAAAGAACTCCAGTCCATCCCTACAGGCTGCATACATATATGGAAATGTCATATTGAACTCCATTATCCTCTGTATATGTAGTTAATATATGTGACTAGGTAACATGTTACTAAATAAAAGCCCCAACTCAGGGGAAAACAGGATGTTCTGTTTGACTATGAAGCAGGGTCTCTCTATGTGGCTAAGGCTAGACTCAAACTTGTTTCATAGCCTGGAGAACTTGCTCTCAGTCTACCTGCCGACACCCAACCCCCAAGTACAGTAATTACAGTCATGCACCACCATGCTAGCAAAAGGGAAGAACTCAAAGTGGAGTAGGTGGGCTTCTCTCACTCAGGGTATGCTGTGCTCTCTACACCAACTGGGACGGAGCACTCAGGAAGCCACAGGCAGGTAATAGCACAAAGGCACACACTTAGCTCTCTTTAAGGTTAAAGATGAGTGTATAGAAGATGATACCATGAATGAGGCACAGAATGCGGCATGGTGCCTGTGTGTGGAGAAGGGCATGTGGGAAACAGAACTGTCATGGCCAAGTAGCCAGAGTCAGGCTGAAAATTCAGCTGCTGCATCCTGTGGGGGAATGCAGTGGCCTAGCTCTGGCCCCCTCCACATCTCTGGGCCTTCCTCCCCTTCCTGGTTCTGAGTGGAACTCCATGTTGGAACCCAGAAGCCCTCAGTACACCACTCAGGACAAAGGCTAACAGGGCAGAGTCAGACGGTGGCTGTCCTCTGAGAGCAGCTGCTTCTTAAAGCTTGAGTCCCACGTAAGCCCCACCTCTCCACCTGTAGTTACACAAAGGAGGCGTCTAACGTCACTGTTTTCCTGAACAATTACTGTCTGTAGAGCATCTGGAGGTTTAAAAAACCTAACTTTTATCTTCTGACTGACTCTTATTTCAATCTTTGCATTTTTAATGCCAATCATCCTTCTAAATATAATCTCTTAAAATTTTTCTATATGATGTATGAGCACGTTTGTGTGTGTGTGTGTGTGTGTCAGAGGACAATCTTGTGTGTGTGTGTGTGTATCAGAGGACAATCTTGTGTGTGTGTGTGTGT